GAATCAGCGATCAAAATTAGCATTACTTATAGTCCCAGATTTGTTCCATTTGCCAATGTTCTGTGATTATGGTTGAAATGACCTGAATTTATTCATATCTGAAAGGGTGTAAATGACAAGTCCTGACCATGTGAGAATGGTTTCTTATGTTAACACAGATCATCTCAGTCCTACCTCCTTTCCCAACACCCTTCTCCTCCCAAAGCTACCTCCTGGCTTCTTTGCAAAATGCAGCTGATTATAGGATATACAGTACAGTATGCACTTTTACTTACAGGACTTTACAATTTGCAAATTGTGTTGCTGCTTTTATAAGGATGTGGATACTTCTTGCACCTCTGTCTCCAGTGCCCCTCTCTGCCTCATCTCTTACTTTACAGTAGTTCATATGGACACACGCCCATGTACCCTTCGCCATCCGCCCCACGTCCTGCATTATGACAATTTGGGTCTGTATTCAGCCGGTGTGGACTTAAGTGCCATCATAAATCCCCATTATCCCCAGTCCAATACATCGATGTCACCAAATGATCCATAGGCCTCTCACACAGTACAACTAATACAGTCTTCAAAGCTCTTAGCCTTTCATTCTTCTCAATTACCACTCCCCTTCCTGCACTCTTTGGCTCTCCGTTTCTCCCCTCCTTTCCCCACTCTCTCTATCTAAATCCTCTTTCCGGATTTCTCTTTCCATTTCATCAGCCTTCCCTCCCTTTTTCTCCCCTCTCTCCTGTTGCGTTCTCAGTCCCCTCTTCTTTAAAACTGGTCCCATTTCACTTCATCCTCTCCCCCCAGTCTGCTCTCGCACTCAGCTGCAAAGCCGTGGTTTTCTTAATTCCCCTTCTGCTCTCTTTCTCCTTCGGTCTCTCTTCCCTCAGCTCTTTAGAGTTTCCATTACTCTCCCAGTGTCCTCGCAAGTCGCTCCGTCTATTTTTATGCATGTGCACTCTCGCTCATTTACTCACTCCCTCTCTGTTCTCTGTTTTCTCAGCAGCCCCTCACTGTCGCTTTCTTGATACAGGGCGTTTCTCTCTCACACATTCTCTCCCTCTCTCTCTCTCTCTCTCTACATCTGTGTCGCCCTCATTCCCCACTCTCTCGCCTTTTCTTTCCTTTTACTGTCAGTAAAGCTGTCACAGAAGCAGTGAACAGCAGTCTATGGGCTCATCTTTCCAACATACACACACACGCAGGCTACAACCGCATGAATGAGAAGTGTAATAATAGCACGCTGACCTGTGGCAAGCTTCCGCTATCTATCCCGAGATGAGCACTGTGTGACAGTCTGTGTGTGATTATCATCTGTCCATTACAGAGTGTTGGTGTCTTAAACCAAGGGTGTGTGTGTGTGTGCGTCAGAGGGTGTGTGTTGCTCCGGCTATGACTGATTGGTGTTGTGCGATGTCAGGACAGCCGGGTGAGGCCTCGAACACACCATCATTCACATTGAGTTTATCACCTTCAAATCTCTCTCGTCTGTCTCTATTTCTCCCCCTTTTTTAAAGGGTCAGTTCACCCAAATTACAAAAACAGAACAAATGTGTCTGTCACTTTGGATGCAATTTTGTCACCGGAGACGACAGGTGATTCATCCAAACCTGGGATTATCAGTGACAGGGATTTTTTAAATTAACATTCAGGGCCATTTAAAAAACATTATTCTGCAATGGGAAAGATCATGACTTTGGAAGACAAACTATGATCAAACTAGTACTAATTTTATATATGCTGTTTAGGTGATCAGTCATGACTCAGGCATATGAAAGCAGCTCCCAAGCTCCTCTCCTGTGGAACCAGGTCCCAGTTTGGGTTTGGGATGCAGACAGCCTCTCTACCTTTTAGGATTAGGGTTAAAACTTTCCTCTTTGATCAAGTTTACACTTAGGGCTGGCTCATGTGACCCTGAGCCTTCCCTCAGTTAGAGCATGCTGTTATCAGCCTAGACTATAGACTGCTGGTGGTCTTCACACAATGCTCTGAGCACCTCCCCTCCGGTCCTTTCTCCTCTCCTCTGTCCTCTCTTTCCATGCATGTATATGCCACCATTACACATCACTGTGTGTCTCCTCTCCCCCGTAGTGTGTCCTCTGTCTCCCCCTGTACCTTTCTGTAGGTCACCCTGGTTCCAGAGCCAGGGTGACCTGTTTCTGATGAGTCACCAGCCACATCAACCTGCCCAGTGTTTGATTGTTTATGGTTCTGTTTGTTGTGTCTTGTTGCTTCTCTTTTCTTTTCTCTATCCTCTGACCACTCACCCCAACCGGTCAAGACAGAGTATATCAGGCGTTTCTTCCACTAAAGGGAGTTTTTCCTGCCTGCGGCCGCTTACTGGCCATTTGCTGGGTTTTCCCTCTGTGATACTGTAAGGTGTAGACCTTACTATGTAAAGCTCCCTGATTACTGTTGTGAGTTGGCGCTATACAAATACTGTACACTAGCATTGAACTGAATTAATGTCTGCTGTGGCTCTGGAGGGCATTTTACAAACTCTGAACTGGTGATAACTTATCTCAGCTTGGAAGTTTTGACAGAAAGCCTCTGTTACAAGCTGAGCCATTTCAGAGATAGGGGCCTTTATCAGACAGGGACGGTCTAATGAAATGCGTGGTCAAGTTGCAAAACGGTAAATGTATGAATGCAGGATTTATGGAGCTTGACCCATACAAGGGAGCAAAAGTCAGGGTCTGTCTTTTTCAGATCTGTCTCTTATGAGAGACCTTATAAATGTGCAACACTAATTGAACCCCTTTAAGGTGTGATTAAGGATAAGCAACATTTGCATAAGGAAAGAGAAAGATGGCAGTTACAGTGAAAAAGCAAACATTAATGGCAACCTTTATGACAGGAAACAAACACATTAAAGATGTGTTGCACACCCATCCAGCTCCCTGACCTGCACACTACACTCTGCAGTGGCATTGGATTCATTGGCAGAGGAGCTAAATCATGAAGTGCTGGTATGTCCAGTGTAAATCTAAATCCTGGGGAAAGGACTATTTACTTAGCAGAGGTAGTTCCTAGGAAAACTCTACAGTGAGGTTTGTGGGTAATCCAAAGTAATCACAACATTGGTGCTGGACAAACACGTTGCTGTTGAATTTTTGTAATGAAATTTTCCATTGTTGTAGTACCACACACAAACACAAAACTGCATTTGCTTCCATCTTATTGGAGTGTTGTCAGAAATCTTAACAGACAAAAAACCTACACAAATAATATGAGAACTCTTTGCATGGATAGATAACAGCTTTTTGCATTTAGAACTAATGCTTTTAACAAAAATCCAGTCTCTCTAAAAAGCAACAATCTCCACACTCCTTTTTCCCTCTGTCTCCTTTTTTTTTAGTTCAGCTGTAACAAAAGAACCAGATAATCTGTTCTCAGGCGGGCAGCTCTCCCATCCCTCCTCCTCTTTGTAGCTTTAGTCCATTCTTTCGATTCATTTCAGTCCATAATTATAGCAAACAACACTAACACTGCCAAGGCATCAGGACACAAGATGGGCACTTTTGCTTCACAAAGCCTGAGTGTCGCATTTTCACATCAATAAATCATTATCACATTATGTCATCATATTATAGTAGTATAAATACTGTAGAAAAGGTCAGTGTAAAGAAGATCCACCAGTCTAAACACTGCAGTTTACACAAAAAAGGATTTGGTGGGACATGGAGAGCTCTGCAGGCAGACAGGGGGCGCTGTTCTTCCAGTAGCTTAAAGCTTATAGCATTTATGGCAACGGCAGATGGTAGAAGGTGTGAAAGGGCAACAGAAACAACACTTCCAACATGTTTGTTCTGCTTGGTAAAGCAAAACAGAAAACCTCTGACTGACGAGGAAACACGAAGCAGGGGAGTTTATGGGAAACATGTTTGTAATTCGGAGAAATCCTACCACTGCCAGCGTAACTGGAGTGAGTCAGAGGCTGCCAATCGTCTCCCGGAGTTTCATTTTATCTGTTAAAGAAAGCCAGTTAATTTGTCCTCCTGTGACATTCTCTCTGCGCTCCCTTGCTCTTCCCTGCTCATTTCTCCTGTTTATCTGTAACAAAAGCCCAGTCATTCTGACCTCACGCAAAGCTCTCTCTATCTCTGTTTCTCTGTTCACCCTCATCCCTTCATCCTGTCCTCCACCCTGCTTTTTATTGCTGGATTCTGTCGTTATCCCTGGCTAGATCCAACCCAGATTATCTCCTGCTCTCTGTTGTGTCGCTCCCAACTGCAGATATGTTGCAGCTCAACGAATGACACACAATACTTGTGTGAATAAACGCTGCATCAACACACACACACACAAATACAGTAAAGTAAAAACACAAGCAGTTCCTGGATACATGCATAGGCACACATTTAGAGGATCAGGACATGAAGCAATGATGGGAAAGAGGAGCACAAACACACTCACAGCATGTTTCTGCACTCACACACACACACACACACACACACACACACACACACACACACAAGCAGCATGCTCTCATACGAGCATACGCAGGCACAGGTTTAGGACAACCAGAGAGACAGCAGGCAATGTGGCAAGGACACAATGCACACACAGCATGACCACACAAAGCTATGGCCTCACACATGCACACAATCGAAATCACACAAATTCCCATATGTGAGCCATACAATATGCACATACTGTACATTTGTGCATATTGTATGGCCATACATTCTAAGCACTGCTGGATCTCACACACACACTTAAACTCAAAGACAAACACACATACACCAGCAAAACTAAGCACTGCTGGATCTCACACATACACAGACACTTAAACCCAAAGACAAACACACATACACCAGCAAAAACCACATCCTTGCATCCTTACAGAACATCCCACAGTGCACTATGCACACACACACATAACCACGCCCATGCACTTTCTTACCACACACACACAGGTCCAGCAAGAGAACAACAGACACATCCAGTGCACATTTTCAGGCCCCACAATTCTCACACTGACAGACTCACAAAGCGATTGCATCTCTCACCGTTCAGCTCCTGGTCTCCTCGGTACCAGCGCAGGCTGGCAGGAGGTTTGCTGCCAGTACTGGTGCAGGTCAGGGTGATTTTGCCCCCCTCTGGCACGGCGTTCTCAAAGCCTGTGATCTGTGGTTTACCGGGCACACCTGGAGTGAGACATAGAGACATAAAGAGTTAGCGAGAGAGAACTTTTATGCTCAGCAAAAAAAAAAAAAAAAAAAGAAGTAGCAATGACTGAGGTACATTTATGTGCAATGATGTGGTGTATCAAATTGAGAAAAAAAATGTATCAACAGCAAAATCTGATACAGCGCCTTCAATATCAGAGAGCAGTTTGAATTCATTTGGTCAATGTTGAAAACTTTAACAAAATCCATCTGGGAGAAAGGCAATAATGCAGGTTTGCTGTGATTTGCAGCTAAAAGGGATCGTAGCCACTGCACAGCAGCTCAAATGTCCGTGTAGCTTGTTCATCCTGAACTTTTAGAGCCACCAGACTGTTTTTCTGCTCATGTGTTTGTCATGTGTTTAACTTAACTCTAACTTAAGCACAGAGGTGGCAGGTCAGAAACCACTCAATCCTTTCTGTAAACCCTGTTTGTAGAGGCTATGGAAGCCACTAAAAAAGATGTCTCCTTGGCGACAGGGGTACCGCATCAAAAATGCTTTTAAGTAATAGCAAACATCACTTTTGTTGTTTTTTTTTAGGATTGTTAGACAGTACAGAGCTAGAGCTGCAGTGATTAGTTGATTAATTGAATATTAATGTGCAACTACTGCACATTAATGCAACAAACATTCTCCACTTGCAGTTTCTCAAAAGTGAGGATTATATGGCTTTAAAATTCTTCTGTGATAATAAACTAAATATTTTTGGGTTTTGAAGTAAAATAAATAATTTCAAAATTTCAGACAGCAGCTGGACAATTTTTTGTAAGGTAACATCTGTCAGGAGCTCTCCATGAGTTAATGACACTGAAAAAATTTCAAAAAGTGGACTGTCTTGCTTCCGGGGCCTTTCTGTGTGGAGACTGCATGTTCTCCCTGTACCTGCATGGGTTCTCTCTTGCTACTCCAGCTTCCTCCCACAGTCCAAAGACATGCAGCTTACGTTGACTGGCGACTCTAAATTTCCCCTAGGAGTGAGTGTGAGTGTGTGTGGTGTCTGTCTACATGGCAGCCCTGTGACAGACTGGTGACCTGTCCAGGGTGGACCCCACCTCTCGCCCCATTGTCAGCTGGGATTGGCTCCAGCACCCCCCACGACCCTGTTCAGGAATGAACGTTATACATAATGGACGGATGGGCTGTCTTGCTCATACCCGTTCCACTTGTACAAAATATTACAAATATACTAAAGCCTTTTCATTGCTAAACAAGTAGTCTGCCTGTTTTATTTATATTTATCAACACTATCAATTGTGATTTATTGCAATAGATCCCATTTGATTGCAAAATGTCATTAGTGATTTCTATTTCAGAGGGAAATTCCATGAAAACATACAGCAGACTCTTGCTGTGCCTAATTTCATTCTTTATTAATTCACTGAAAAAAGGTCAGACTCTGTGCATATCAGTCTTATGGGTTACAGTACAGAACATTTGTAGTGAAGTCCCAAATGACAGGACGGCTGCCTACTGAGAAGAACATGGAAATGCAATTAATCCACTGGAAAAAATCATAATGCACTATCCCTTTAAAATTAGCAGCATGGGTTCTGCATTGCTTCTGACAGCCTTGGCATTTCTACAATTCAGCTCTCTCTGTTAGTAATAGTATTGTATGACTCTTCATTCTCAGTACTTCAGGTCAGTTTGAAATGTCAAGTAAATTACATTGTGCAGATATCATTAAATATGACTCCCAGAATTCATTAGCTAAAAGCCGAGATAGGAGCAAGAATGAGTCGTGTCTTTTAGGGGCACGCCGGTGCCTTGGCAGAATGTTTGGAGGACAAACTAACAGGGACGTGAACCAAGGGTCAGATTCAAACACCAGGATGCCTGGAGCCAAACCAGAATTTCATGACTCATCTTCCTTTCCCAGAGGTGTTCCTAAAGGTTCAGGTAGATTTGGTAAAAATAAGAAAAATCTTTGCTTAATTGCTCAGTGAAAACAAGGAATCTACACGTGCTTCCTGCCAAATGCTGCAGTATATCCACTTTGCTTTTGCCATCATGGTTGAAGATAAGAGAGGAGAAAACTAAACTTTTCTTGCCGTACTCCATCTGGAGCTGTTGTGGGCGGCACTTTTCTCCAAGTGTTGGCAGAGTTTACTGTCATTCTGTGCCTGAAAACAATGAACATTCGGTTGGCCATCTACCGCATATACTGTACTGTCGTTTGTGCATTAAGGGAGGAAAGATGGTGTGATGGACAGAGACAGAGAGGGAGAGAGAGATCTCAAAGAGCAGAAGCAGTTAGTGTTAGAGATTGACAGGGGGCCAAGACATGAAGTGATGCCAGGAAAGTAACTGATTTTCATTAAAATTGACAAGATTTTTGAGCAGTTACTGCAAACTTTAAAAATGTGACATTTGTCAGGCCAAAAGCGTCTGTACCATTCCAAAATATGACACGTATTCAGTGAGTGAGGAGTCACAGTCACAAGCGAGATAGATATCATGTTGATGCTGTTGTATCAGATTACATAACGCTGCAAGTCGTTCCTGGTATTATGTCCACTGCCGCAGATGGACAAATGGACAGATATGGAAATACCGATATAAAGTGCGGTGAACTAACCAAGGTATAGATCAAAAAATAAAAATGTGGTCAATTTTTAATGTAGCAGTATTTGATGTAGTGCACTGTGTGCGGAAGCTCTCTGGCAGTAAAGCAACATTGAATAATAATGAGGGGATAATACTACACATTCAGAATTGGCTGGAGAAGCCCTGTCGTGACCCTTTCCTGTACAAGGAAAGGAAAAGAGAATAAAGCCATTATAAATTATTCTCTGCTTAGCTCAGGAGCAGAGAGGCATGCCGCACATTTTACACTGAGAGACACATGACCGTTTAATACTGACCACAGTCAGCAGTGCTCATGTGTGTTTGTATATACATGTCTGTCAAAACCCTGCACATATCGAAACAAGGATAAAAACACACACACAAATGCTGCTCTGCCAAAACTTTGTATCTTTGGCTAATTTTGTCACAGGGGTCCATGCGTTTTAGACATTTTACCATCCATTTTTAATGGCTTGGCTCGCTCTCAGAGGCCATGAAATATTTATTGAACGCAGAATACAGTGTCACGGCCATCAATTACAGCGGATAAAATATGACTGAATCACAATCACTGCAAATTTGGAAGAAATGCGGAGGAGCAATTTTCATGTTAATTTCAATTTAAAGAGCTAAAGTACTGTAGACCCGCTTTCACCCCTGCGTGCACAATCCCCTCAGACATTACACAGACACACAAGCATCACATTAACATTTACAGCATGCTGCTCATGCTGTTGTCCAGAGCAACTGCATTCATTTCTTTTCAACTTTGCAGCAAATCACTTGAGCAAATGTCCACAAGTAAGTTATTTAAGGATGCTTTCAAAGCTTCTGACTGACAAATGCCAAATCTGGAGAACAGAGCTGTAGCCGTTCGGCTACAGAACAGGCGTTCTAAACATAAGTTGCCATGCCCCAGCCTGAACATCTTACATTTGATCACATCCTCTTCCCACTAAGTGCTTTTTCCAAGAGAATTGCGCAGAAACCCATTGCATCTTGGTTTCATCCAAGAATTAGCTGGCAAACTGTGATGTACTGAATTAGACAAACTGAGTAAAAGTAGCAAAAACGAGTGGGAAAACCCTCCTCAACATCACAAATAAGCTCCAGGCAGAACACATGTAAAATTAGTAATGTAAAAAAAACATTTTTTGAATAAATATGATGCTTTATTGGTCAGCACAAAGAAAAACTTAATTTCATTACACAGCAATTTAAAAGTGCCACTGGATGCACTGAAAAGTTGGCCATAAATCTACCCACCGGAGCCTCACATCTGACCAGCTGTCTCTGCCATGCATACAGCAAATCTCCATTGTGGTTCCATAGCCATTAGTTGGTGCATTACAGTACTGGCAAGTGCACTGCTATATTCTCATCTTCAAGTGAAACCATGAAATACAGCCAGAATTAGCTGACACTGAGGAACAATAACAACTCGACTAACAAAAATCAATAGTCGAAAGACGATTTGTGGAGGTCCAAAGCAGATTAGCCCGATAGCCAGTCAATAAACAGGCCCACTCCCCGCTGACGGGATGACCACAATTTATTGCAGACTGCAGGGAAGCATCACACATGGGTAATAACATCCCATAGAAGATGAGTGGAGCTGGTTTATTTCCACACAAGCATTATCTGAGGTCACAGCCTTACAGAAGTGTTAACACTGTAAGCAAGGGTCTGCATCAAACTGAATTAAGGCATCACAAGGAAGGCTATGGCTCCAAAACACGATAAACCACTGCACGGTTACATTTCTGGATCATTTTGTTAAAGGTTTATTTTTAAATGAATCTGAGACGCTGCAGATTACCTGAATAACATTTTTATTTTTTGATCTTGATTATTCCAATTCAGGATCAATTTTTCATCAATTAGAAGCTCAGGACCTAACAAAAAGACACAGTCGAGTTATGGAAATTGTAAGATCCAGTGTTTTTACAGCTCATGTAAGGGTCTAAAAGGGAGGATATCTCTTTACTATACTGATTGCAGACATTCTTTTAAATCAATCTTTTAAAAAGTCCCCTAACTTTGAAACTTTATGGAAGTGCAACACTTAAGAAGCAGCACTTTGTTTCATGCCGACAAGCAGCGTTTCTTTGCAAGTCACACTTAAAATGGCGAAGCACAAGGTCAGCCTTTATTCAGCTTTGCAGGGTAGGCCAAGCGAACACAATGCCACAGCACTCTGTCAAGGAGAATTTGAACCACTTTTTCACAATTTTAAAGCTAAACTTTCTGTGTAGTCTGAAACAGAATGGTAGAAAAAGTAGACAACTTTATGAAATTGCTCAACAACACGTCCACTGAAGAGCAAATAAGAAAAGTTTCAAAACAGAAAAACTGCAGTCAAGCTGATTCATACAGCTGCCAATCAGTCTCACAGGAGAAATACCTGAGCCTGAGCAGAAGGAAGAATATCAGCGAGACTAAAGAAAAGCCTCGATAAAGAAAGGCAAATCTGAAGAAACCCTCACAGAGAGGATCCTCCTTCAAGAACAAACAGGGGACAGTAAAGGGAGTTTTACGAATATATAATTAAAAAATGAGCAAAAACAGATGTGTTTATTTCTACTTTTGTCTTGTTATTCAGGAAAAAAAAAGTTTTTTCCTCCGAATCCTGAAAACCTGTTTAACAAGACTGTTAGAGACACACATAACTTCCACTTTCATTTTTTCCTGCAGCACCAAAAAAGCCAATATAAAAATAAACTGGTTACAAACAGCCCAGTCTGTTCTGGAAAAGTTGCAAACTCTATTTCTGAAAACATCAAGATGACTGATTTTCCCCAGTATTCACAGTCAGCGATGGTGTTACTGTGCATGCTTGTGTGACCCACCTAACACAGTGACGGTGGCTCGGGCGGTGCGGACCGGCATGGTGAAGATGGAGCAGGTGTACTCGCCCTCATCGGACAGCTGCACGTCGGAGATGGTGATGGAGAGCTCAGTGGGCGTCGAGTGATGCAGCTGGATGCGGTTATCTCTGAGCGCTGAAGGAGGAGGAAGATACCAATAATTAGAATATTAGTATATAATTGATCAGCTTCATGGATCAGCTTTTGGATTGTTTTTTATTTGTTTACTTTAATTGTTAGGATTTTTTGTATTTTAACTTTTATAATTTGAATATTATTTTTGTACTTGTAAGTGTAAGAGATGTCTAATTGTTTTGTTAAGTTTGCTCTGCGCTGCTGGTTTTAATAAAAAAAATGAAAAGCATGGAAGAGGGAGAGACACTACTTGTTAGAAGAAGGGAGGAGGGCAGGGTGACGAGGAGGCAGGAGAAAAGAAAGTGAGGAAAAAGAAAAAAAGGAGGAGGACAAAGGGAAAAGAAGAAGTTAAAATAAGAGGGAGAGGAGAGGGTGAAAAGAACAGGAAGGACTGAAAGGAGGAGACCAGAGGAGGTAGAGAGGGTGAAAGGGTGAGAGAAGAAAAAAGCACATAGGGAAAGCAGAGGAATAGGGAGATAGGAGGAGAGGGAAAGAAAGAAGCAAAAAGTGGGGGAAAAGGAGGAAAAAGGCAAGAAATAAAACGGCACAAATTGGAGAGAGTATGAAAAGAAGGAATGAAAAGAAAAGGAGAAGTAGTGGGGATGGTTTGAGAAAAATAAGGGAGAGAGGAAGCACGTGAAGGAAGGTGAGCAAGGATGGGGAGGACAGAGTAAGAGGGCAAGTGAAGAATAAGACGGGCGTGCGAAATTTAAATCATGGGAAAGCAAAAGTAAAAAGAAAAGAAGAAGGGAGGAACAGAGGTGTTTAGACAGAAATGATGTATGACAGAAGGAGAGAGGGGGAGGAGTGAAGAAGATGGGGTGAGAGACAAGGAAAAAATAGCCAGGATGTAAGCATGAGCGAGGCAAAGAAAGACAAAGAGGGGAGTAAAGAGAGGAGATGCAAATTGAGAATGAGAGATGAGAGAAAGTGAAAAAACTGTGAAAAATAAAACAGCGGAAGCATAAATAGCAAGGAAAATATGGGCGAGACAGTGAGGGATGGGTGGGGGAGGGTGAGGATGAAGAGGAGGGTGGCAGGGGGAAACATAAGAGAGACATAAATGGCTTTGTCATCAATGAGAAATCCAGCCATGAAAGAGGGAGAGAGCGCGCAAGCGACCGAGATAGATGATGATGATGAAATGCTATGAAATAACTGCTCGTCTCTGTGACAGCATTGACCTCTACTGTGTTTGTGCACCGTGATTGCTGTCTGTCTCCCTGCCTTCCTATCTGCCTGTCTATCTAGATGTCTATCCATATCTCTGGCTCAACAAAGGCTTTTCAACTTTGTTCTCATGGCGCCATCGTGCAGACGCGGCTCTCCATAAACAATGACCAAACGTTTAACATATCATTTTTAACTTATTAACTAAATGGGGATGAAAGGAGTTAGTTAAACTGCATTTCAACAAGGAGTCTGAGATCAAGGTCTCTCAATTACATAAAAGCATATACAGCAGCATCTGTTAAAACAGCCACAAGGATTATTAGCAGCATTAACAAGTACAATTTGAAATTTCTTAAGGAAATTAGAGTTTCTAGCATCACCACTTCAGAGTTGGTATGAGGTCATGATCTCTGAACTCAGCTGAAGATGTTAAACACTTTGGCAACTATGAAATTAGCTGCACAGTTTCCATTCGAAGGCAACCACATCTCTTCGGTTGCACCGAGATGATCAAGTTGTTTAGAAATGAAGTTGATTGCTTACTGTTACCTCAGACATGCCTACTACAGTTACAGCGCATGTGCCAGTTGTGGCTGTAGCTACAGCTAACAACTCACTTCTGCATCACTGCAGCAAAGTGACAAACCAACAAGCCATTTTATTCTGGAAATCGTTACATGGGAGGACTGTCTGGGCTGATCCAAATATGTGTGTGTGTGTGTGTGCAGTTTAATAGTGTGCTATAGTTTCCTTTTGTTTTAGTACTTTGCTGTGGATTTGCATCACATCTGTGTCTATGTGTCCTTTCTGTCTCACTAAACTCTCCTTGTTTTTCCATCTGTTTGTTCACCTGCCTGTCTCAGCTGCACCCACACATGCATATGTTTGTACTTCTGTCTGTGTGAGGACACTTATTAACATAATGCATTCCCTAGTCCCTTACGTTAACCTTAACTATGACAACCAAATGCCCAGTTTCATCAACATTACCCCCTAAAACCAGGTTTTAACCCTCAAACAGCCTTTTGCAGCTATGTCAAAAATGAGGACCTGCTAAAATGACTTCACCCCCAAACTATAAAATGCAGGCAGGTCCTCACAAAGATAGCCATACAAGTACACACACCTCTGTTTCTCTTGGTATTTTTCAAATATTCCATCCCACCATACTTTATCTTCATGCCTTATCACTAAGCAAGGTCACAGCATTTGTCTTCATGAGCTACCCACTGAGTGTGGGTGTGTGAGGCAAATGGTGGGTCACTCACACACATACACACACTTATCCATGTCCTCTGGACCCTCCACTCAGCTATCAGTCTCCTTAATTCTCTTCCCTTCATCTCCCCTCTTTTTTTTCCCTGTCTCTGGTTCTTCTTCACCTTTTTCTCTAACATCTCATCCATCTCTAATCTTTTCTGACTCCAGGCCTTTCTCTCTCCTTTTCTGTTCTCTCTTTTTTCAATATAAATGATCCATATTGCTTGAAAGTACAGGTGTGATGGATTTTCAAAAACTATATGATATCTAGTTACGGGGGCGCATCGATCGGGAGGCCGCTGAAAATTGTACATGTGCCTTATGCTGTTTAGGCTGTGATGTGGGCAACATAAATAGTCTGCCAATAGGTCACACTCTGCTGTTTGGCTTTTGTTTCTTTGGTGAAAGGCTGTAATCAATTTCTTATTATTGAGATAAACTGAATTAATGGGTGAGGTGTATGTGGAAGGGCAGAGGAAAATGGTTGTGAAGTAGAAGTCCTAGCTCAATTTTCATATTTTTCATGTTAGGTGTCTGACATTTGGAGCATGTCAGAAGCTTGGATGGACATGAAAGCTTACAGTTCACTTCTGACATACACTGACTTTTTTTATGTTTGTGTCTCTTTCTCTTATTCCCGTGACTGCAAAGTAAAAAATATTAACTCTATCGCCATTTTCAAAATGAAAAAATCTGGCACAAATAATGATTTCCTCATTAAATCAGCAGCACAAAAGGTGGAACGACTGTATAAATAAATACCCAGTGATGGCCCCGTGGTTCTGGAATTAAGATGGTGACCATGTTTTGAGCTCTGTTGCATCTCTCTCACTCATTTCCTGTCATCTCGCTGCGCTATCTATTTAATAAAGGCATACAATGTGTCAAAAATGAAAAAAGGTCAAAATGTCAGGATCTTTATGACAGTACAAGCACATAGAAACTCAAAAGAAAGAAGTTAAGACTCCCAAACTACACTTTGATAAAAAACATCCAGTCAGCGAGCTTAAATTTCTGAACATTTTGCAGCACGTTTTAAAAACATCTGACACAAGGCATGAGGCTTGTAAATACTAGAGTATGCTGTTGTTAAAGATTAACTATACTAACTCATCGCACAATTTTCACAGAGAATGATTGAAATAAATGACCCATGAATGTCACAATTATGTGAAGAAAACTAAAAATGAAACTCATCCAATTCAAGATTATAAAGAGGGTCTACTGGACCCCATCCAGACTCCACAAAGTGGGTCTGGCTGAGGATACTGGATGCTGGCAGTGTAGGGAGGCCGGGCCAATCTGACGCATATGCTGTGGAGCTGCCCATGATGATAAGTGCTCTGGTCAAATATCCACAACCACATCCAGATAATTCCAGGTCAGAATATCCCTTTCATTCCTGGCTTAAATGTATTAGACAGCCCTGCAGCTATGGATAATTTATCAGCTGCTCAGACAGGTTGGGTCCAGACTGCCCTTATGTTAGGACAGAAAATTAATGTCACGAATTGGACGTCTCCCTCTGCACCTCCAATGACACTATGGTTCACTGAGTTGGGTAAATTAGCAGCTATGCAAAAGCTGTTTTACAGATCGCTCAGCAGGGAGAAGTACCGCCTCAAGACATGGGGGAACTATGGTGTCTTTCTGGATGGAGTTCGCTGACCATGAGCTATAAAGACACTCACAAACGCACTATACCAGCTTCAGTTTTTGACAGTGACAGCCACAAGCTAAAGAGAAGTCCTAGTTGTTCTCCCTTTATTATGATTTTAATTTTTTATTATGAATTTATATTATCACTATGTGCTATCTTATTGAGGGGTTTCTTATTTTTGTCTTTGCTCTATGTAGAGTTTTATGCTAAGCGCTGCTATTTTCTGAATTTAATCAAAATCAATAAGAGCATAAATGTTAAAAAGAAAAACAAGCTTAAATTTCTGATCTTCAGGCTAAAGATGATGCATTTATATGAAAATAACAAAGAAACAACAGTTTAAATAATTTCTCCCTCAGATTCTAGTCCAGTTTGGATGCATCCGCTAACTATTGTGCAGTGATTTGTATCCACTTGTAAAAACAGGACATTCTGTATTTGCAACAGCCATTTTGTGCCTCTTACTTTCTTCTCTGAAGCAACTCCAGCTGAGGCTCATGGGTGTGGAGGTATTGAAAGCCATCTGCTAATGAGGCAGAAAAAATGGGATTTTTCAGAAATAAACCTGAAATAATTCAAGTGTTTTCAAAACAGTGCCTTACTGTAAAGCTGTCTGTTTTACAACAGCCATATGTCCCAGATCATTTGGAGTTGTCTAGCAGACAATTTGCATAATCTAAGGTGCAACTCATTCATGATTGCTATGGAAACAGATACTCTGTAGCTACACTTGCTTTAACATGAAGTGCGGTCTTATCTTTATTCTGATTCTGTGCTTCTCAGTGGTGTATATTAGCAGGCCAAAAACAGAACATTCATTCTCTTGTTTCACAAACTTCATGGAAAACAAGCCAATAGAAAAAAAAATGCATTATGACCTATTAAATTTCATGTTCCAGAGACGCAT